AAGGGTCTTCATATTCAATCAATCACATATCAAATAACGATAACACATAACATGCCTGCTTTAGAGTCAACAACCAGGAATTCGCAACGGTAGATTTTGATAAATACCAAAATTGTTTTAATACTAACTTGGGATATGCGCGTTTGTTTACATCGTCTTTAAATATGCCAATTTGAAATTGTATTTATATAATATCCAATGGAAATATAGCATTAGATATTTTTTATTTTTTATTTCTTTTCAAATTTGCAATACAAGATCACTTTCATAACATTGCCCACATAATTGTTTAGCGATAAAACAGAAGACGCTAGCTTACTTTCCAAATACATTGCATATATAAAATTCAGTTTATTATTACATAATATTACTCACGCAGCAAAACGTATTTTGTAGGTGTAATATAATATAAAAAGTTCACTACATTGGAAATGTTGTTTCTTCATTGTTATACCAATACTTGGGCTGCTTTCTACCTTAAATACAAAGCATGGCAATATAATGAATCTATTATTCTAATCGGAAAACTTCATAAGCATATGAATGTAGTCCCTTTGTACCTCAGTCTATATTGTGAACTACTATTGCAACTCTGGATAGCAGTTATCATCGTTGCCAAACAGTGATAAAATGTGTAATGGTTGACCTGAAGGTTGGGCAATAACAGGAAAAAGAGGAAAGCAACAGTAATAAAAGCGAACTTGAATTTACTCAGCTTTTACTTCATTCAATAAAGTAGTTGTCTGCCTATTTCGATTAGAATATTGAGGAACCTGCAGTTGGCGCCTTTGTTTATATCTAAAAGCAAGAGAGACATTACAGTCCAAAGGCATTTTCTGTCTATAAACATTACATTTCCTCATGTTCAAGCCGACAAAAATATTTACACACTTCTGTTGACTTTACAATAGAAAACTATACTATTAGTACCTGGGGACCTTGCGACATCGGCGATGGCAGGTCAAAAGATTTACACACAGATACCGGACACTACCGAAATAACATATTCGGAAGATCTCGAAAAAGAAACAGTTATAACCGTAACACTCAACGATGGCGAAACGGTCCCGGTATCGGCGACCAAAATCATCTTTGCAGCATTATTTCTGACGTATGTTGGATATTCTATGACAGTAGAATTCGGCTCTAAAAACTCTTTAAGACTTCTGATTGGAACAATTCTGTGGTATCTCCTCCTATCGTGGAATCTGATTAGAAAGTGGAAATGGTTTGCAAACATATATGCTGATCTACGGCAGCCTAAATGTCAGGGCAGAATTCAACTTAAGATCAGAAAATATATCCGACGTAAGTTACTTTATATTTTCATATAGATAATATTATTAAACTTATAAAATTGAAAATATACAGTGTACCTAACAAACACTTACTTAACAATGATGCCTAAGGATGAATTCCTCTGAACATTTCCGATGCTACTTTTTTTTTTTTTTAATTATCTATTTTTGGAAAAGAAGTTAATGTATATTAGAAAATGAAAAATAATTGATAAGCTCGTATGTTAGTTTTATGTGCTATGATCGGTCGAGGACACTTATTTAGCATAATATGAGATTTTTGATGATTTTTGGGGTTTTGACCATTTACAGAACAATTTCATACAATATCATTCAAGTGTGTTATCCGATATGTATGATTGTTTGCAGAATTGAGTATTTTCTTAAATTAAGGAAGTAACATTTCTTTAACTGATCTATATAACTCAGAATAGCGATTTATGTTACCCCTACCACATATTTTTTGATGAAAAAATACTACATTTCTACGTTTTTCGCAATTTAACGTTGGGTAATTAATATGTTAACCTTTGATTCTTATTTAGAAATCTAACGTAAATCGCTCAATGAAACATGATAATTACACGAACATTCAGAAAGATTCCTTTATGCGATTAACTGGTCAGATGTTCATCTCTGCATCAGTTACGCAATACTGTTCCATGAATGGGAGAGGCTAGGATGTACTCGCCGCGCCGGTTACACACCTGTAAACAACAAACCAAAAGGAACAATTGATATTTCCAATTGCTGATACTTAGGATCCCGAACGATTGCCGGTTGGTTATCATGTTATCCAGTTCGTGTTAGTTTGTATTTTACGATTTTTTAAAAGACACCAGGTTAACCGAGTGTTTTTTGACACTTTGAATTCACCAAATATAGTTAATTGACGCTTTGAAAATTCACCAATTACAGGTTTCTCTTGGAAATACCATTTTTTACGATCACAGACAGACAGACAGACAGAAATGCCATTAATCAAGACATCACATTAGACAATGCAAACAGAAAGCATTGCTATGTGACATCATCATTGAATGATTGACCAATAAAACCACGTCCAGGTTGTAACCCACTAATGCGTGTCTAAAATGTTTAACAACCCTTAGCAGTTTTATCTGATGAGTCGGTTGTGAGTATACTTATAGTGATTGTCGGAAAACCGATGTAACAAATAACGATGAAATAGGAAATTAAATTGATTATGATGTTAATTTCTTTGATTTCGAATTTTCTATGCGGACGACTGTTAGATGTATCTTTTTCCAATGGGATACTCAAAACGTTTATTTCAGCAAAATATTTATATAAGGCCTTCTCGGTCATTTGTCACCTTACTAGTCGTTACAATTAAAAACGGTAGCTTCCTATATTATTGTTTCTGAATGTGTTATCGTATTGTTTTGTTAAAATTGCGATATGAACATCTTGACGTATACGAAGTTAAAATAACAAACGATTTGCAGCAAGTTAAAGCGCACCATGTTCATTTGATTTTAGTGTAAGAAATCGGATGCGTGTCACTGAGCATTTATCTTTTACACACTATGTTGCAGTCATAATAAGTTTTTTTATTAACAATTGTGGCGAATCACGCTCATTTAATCTTTCTTTTCGATGTTTTTATTAACATTTAGCGTTTAACATTCGATAACATCCAGGAAACGCTTCATAAACCTAAACTGAATGATATAAACAGTTAACAAAGCAGGGACTGCTTAAAGCCGTGATTCGTGATGTAACAGAAGCCGCCATCTCTAAAGGCCCTACAAAGTGATTCAGCCAGAAACCGGATAGTCTGTGTATCAACCTCCTGACTGACCATATCCAGGCTTTACCGGGACACGTCCAACACCGGGATCTCCGTCGGCATGACTACCATCACACAGTTCATAACATTCAAAATAGCAATGTGATATAGTGAGTCGATACAAATAATCTAAAACTTGTCCTAGATATGGCATTTTTAGCATGCACGATACTGCTATCTAAGACCAAATAGTCTATAATAATGTATATATGTCCTCACTGACCCTTATCCGCTCTTCACTAGCAATATCTGCCCGACACACGCTATATCCATTTTCCTTCCGGATACGTACACGTTTAAGGAAATCACATCTCCATTACACTCAATTGGAGTTATTGATGGCATTTTGTATGTTGTATTCAATATTAACAGTGTGTAGTAAATGATGAAAAAGGTTATGATATGGCCATTACTATATTCCACTACTAATCAACCCTCGATCCATACAAACTCTTTGGCCCTTCGAGCTGATATGACGCTATCCAGTAATTCTTCATAAATGATACCAGAGGTTAATATCACGTTATAGTTATATTCTTGAGACAAATTGATCTGCATAATGACGATAAAATAAACGTTTTTTTCCAAATTTAAGTTTAGTCATGCAAACCAAGTACAAAGGTCGTTGATTGATTGATCGACATCGAGTGAACAAATCAGGCATTTCTCGATTGTTGCAGAGGGGATAATAATGCATCCTCGATATCCAGGAGTAACGCTCACTTACACTCTCTGCACCCATAAGCTATATCATAGCAAAACCCCTTGATATTGAGGATGGTAGAAGTGTAATGTAACAGTTGTCCAATGTGTTCAAGGTAATAACACTTATCTCATTATTATATATTTCAGTGTATACAACTGTACCATTTAATGTATCGATCTAAACAAATATTGGCATATTTGATTTGATCATTTACTACTTTCTTGCCAACATTTGTAGTATATTGATTCCTTCCTAAAGCTTTCGCCTGAAATAAATGCTACCTCAAACGGCAATATAAATAAATGGTTGTAAAATGTCTTGGAGAAAATTTTGGGGAAAATTCGACAAAGACCAAGTTGAAATATACTGGTGATGAATACGTGAAAACGACTGTTTATGGTGTTCATCATGCTAACCTTTTGAATGATTTTACCACCTTTTAGCCACAGAAATCTATCTATCGACATGTTATACTTAACAGAGTCAAAGATGATGATAATGTATTCATACGATACATAGATTTGGTTAGTCTCAGTTGGAAGTGATTGACAATCTGAATGCCTCTATTTCTTGAGTCCTAGCTGTGTTGTCGTCCCAGGTGGTTCAAGTATATGTCTGTTCGCACAAAGACTACGTTTATGTATTGTCCTGTATTGCTTTTGTGTATTATGACTGCTGTGTTATTGTTCCTGATTGAATTTGGAATTGGTCTTGATGTCTCTCAGTCCTTGAACTTCCGCTGTAGTGCTTTATTTTCCTCACTCGCTGGAAACGAGTGAAGTCTTTGATAGGCATTGTTATAGTTTGCTCCTCGACAGTTTTGTAAAAGAATGTTAATCTCGTTTTGTGTTTGTCTTGGTGCTGGTGATAGTAGTTAGTTATACCAATACAAAACGACGTTTTAATCATGAAACTTATTTTTCTAACTCAATTAGTATTTATATTCGATATGTGATGACTCAAATATGGAATATTGTTACGGCATGGTTCTTGCAATCTAAGTATTTATTATGGTTACCTTCAAAGTTGCTTGTCCTCATGTTTTAAGTATAAACGGCAACATATACATGGGTATATAACTTGTTAAAACTTACTTTTATTGTGTAAATTATCAAATTATTAAATAATAATAAAGTGTATTAAACAGTTTAAATGAACCCATATACAAAAGTAATAGCATTTCTCAGTAAATATATGTTATATTTTAATGTCAGATAATTCATGCTTTGTCGTCAACAGATGGAAATAGACGTCCAATTATTTATCCAAAATACTTCATTCGGGTAACTTCGGTAATAATTGAAGACGATTTTGTAACGGAACATATTATACATTGCAAATTACTTTGAGCTTGCATGTCTACATATATTGTTGATAAATATAGAAAATAACGAGGAAAAGAATGCATGAACATCCTGATTCACTCGTACTCTAAATTAATTTTAATGGCCAAGTCACTCATCTTTTCTTTATAGACTTTATCAAACTTTTCATTCTGTGCCACGGTGAGCATGTTCTTCCATTCACCAACGATTCCTGCGTAATAAATAAAAATCAGAAATATATTTTTATATTGGATAGGCTTTTCAAAATCAGAACACAGCAACATCATGTAAACATCAAGACTTGAGTCCGTTTAACCTTTTTATTTCAACTATTTTTCTTCTATGTCCATTGATGTCCATTAATGTCCAATATAATAAAAGTATATAATTGTGTTTACATTCTCCGGTTCCCTCCCAAATAAAAACCCCCGGGCCAACAGGAGTGATTAACATAAGTTTGTATTTTAATTAAATTGTAGTCCAGATTTACGTTTCCATGTGTTTTCAAGATTATAACTGGTAAAAAGTAATGTATAACAGATGCAAACTTTTATGTTTTAAAATAAAAAATGGAACAAGAAAAGAAACACCATCAATCTTAAATATGATTAAAGTTATGTCTTTTTTATAATACAGTGTTGGTTACATAAAGCATATCGGCAAAAATACATAATAATAAAATATGATTGTACCTATCATGTCAATATTTTGAAAAAGTTCGAGGTTTTAAATAATCAAAACGATATACTATATTCTGTCCCCTAAATATCAATTTCATCCCGTTATTGTCCTATGCAGGAACTGATTCATAAAAAAAGAAGTTTAAATGAACACATATACAAAATTAATAACATTTCTCAGTAAATCATCTATGTGTATGGTACAGATAATCATTCGACTATTCGTTATATGGTTATGTCAGATAATAATGCTTTGTCGACAACAGATGAAAATAGACGTCCTGCGGTCCTATGATACACGTTGGCTGTTTATATATATTAATTTATTAATTTTATAAATTCATAAAAGTGGGGTCAACATTTGGCACCACTTTGATTTCTTTTATTCTTTTGCCATGTGTATATTCATAATTATTACTGATAACCGTAGTGGACCTCCTTTAATAACACCAGGTTGAGAGACGGGGTATCCTAACAAAATGACCAATAAATGTCGCAGGCGAATGTTATATTAAAAATGAATTATGATAGTGTACAATGTACAAAATTACTGTTATTGTGATATTAAATATGTCATATTGGTATACATGCAGTCAGCGTAATGATACTTTTAATTAGAACATTGCCTTTATATAGTTACAATGTTAGTCTATATATTAAACTTAAACTTCTTTCAAAACTTTCCATATATATATACTGTCTACAGAATCATTTTTATGTAATATAAAAACCGATAAAGAACTTTTTTAGCATGCCATACGTGATCAAAGGCCAATTTCACATTATCATGGAGATTTGATTATCAATGTTTATATTGGTAAATACCGATACTTTTTCTGTTTTTGTATCATACCAAACACTTAATTATATAACGCATGTTTTCAAGTTATGTGCAGCAGTTATAACTATGAATATGCATTCTCCCAAAGTAATATTTCCTCTGGCGAACAACTTAAGGTTGAGATTGTGTTAAAGACAAAGCTATGCAATTGAATAAAACAATAAGATTATCTAAATAGTTAAACTATTATACACTAAATTATACTCCCGCAACGAAGTAAGGGGGTATAGTGGAATCAGCTTGTCTGTCCGTAGAAAAAGTTTTTTCCGGACAACTCCTTCTTAAGTAATGGACCTATCAACGAAAGTTTCCTGATATGATAACTGCCACCTGAAATTGTGCACCCATGTATTATTTTTTTAGATTCTGACCCTTTTATTTTAACAAAGTTATGACCCTTTGTTGAAAATTCCTTGTCCGGACATGTCCTCATAAACTACTGGGTCGATTTCATTGAAAGATTACAGATATGGTTATTACCCCTGATGTCGTGCATCAGGGTAGTATATTTTTTCATTTCGATCATATTTAAGGAGTTATGGCCCTTTGTTATAAATCTTTGTCTCGAAAACTCTTCCTTAACTACTTGGACGATTTCAGCAGAGCTGATTCATCTGGGCTACGGGATTTGGTTTGCAAGTATGTTTTGGCATGGGGAAGGAGTACAGGAAGTATGTAAGTGATCTTTAAACTTAAATAATTACTGGTGGGAAACTAAGGGTTGCGGTATTAGTTAACCTTTGGCTTACAGTTCTAGTTATTATTTTATTTTGCCTATTGCCCATTTATTAAACAAAATATGAAGGGATATTACACTATTTTATATCGTTAACTCTAAACAAATAAAGCAATGAAAGATATCCTTTTCTTACTCCCCATACAAACATTATATTTTAGAGAATTTGAGTTATATTACCTTGAACGAAGGTTAAGGTCATCAACGTTTACAAAACTTAAATCCATTCACATTAACAACTTCCTTACCATATATCAAGACCCAAGGAACTTTGGTCATGAAGAAACAAATGTTAAAGAAAAAGTGGAAAGGGAGTTATGTTTTTTTTTTTGAATCAAAAGAGTAACATCACAAAATTACGGGTTGTCAAATATTTGGAAATTCCTGATGTTAAAAGATATCATTGTTAGCCAACTTTTAAGCAAGTATGAAAAATAGACTCGTTTTAGAACTATGTAAATTAACGTGTCAAAAATGGAAATTTACTCATTTGTAATGACATTTCACATACTTATCTGCTTAAATCTTCAATAAAAAGAACAATTCTTTCTTGAAATGTTGTAATATTTGATATCAAAATAACAGTTGGAATATGTTGCACACGACGATGATATAATTGTATAGAAATTGTGTCATGTAATTATAAATGCTCTAGGATGAACTGTGTTACCGCACCTTTAACAACCACACAGGTGTAAGACAATTAGGTCCCATTTATCATAAAATGAATTTTGAAACTAACTTTTCCTGATTTAAGATTCCTATACCCAGACCTGTTTGAATTTATCTTGTTTTGAAATTCCAAGCGGGGGCCGACGTTAATGTTAAATCTCCATAGTCGTTGACCCCACCTTTTACAGATTTATACATTTTACAGATTTTTACAGATGAAAAAGTGCTCACAAATGACAAACTATGTACAAATATGAGAAATTGGTACAAAAATTCTGTATGGGGTAAAAGTGAACAAATGTTTACTTAAATTAGTCATAGTCTTTTGATGGCCAAATGCAAAAGTAGGTTTAATGCTTTGAAAAGTGCAGTGACATCTGTATGTTTTCACATCAAATAGCTATGCTATTGAGACAAACACACGGATGCTGGGACCTTTATACACGATGACCACATTTTTGTTCTAAATTGTCGATATACAGAGAATAATTTTACACACAGCTACCTAATTCTAAATATAAAACGAGTTTTCAATATTTAGTATTATAGAGGATATAATGAATATGTTATTATGATGTATTTACCTTTCTTATATATCGGCATCCTTCCTTTATCTCCAAGATGTTTCCACAGCTCACTCTCACCTGCACTTGTTGCGTGCTGCTTCTTTAGATTGTCAAATGCAACAGTTTGCTCCACTTTTTTTAGAAAACTTTCCTCGCGATCGACTTCTAAAAAATCTGCTATCTTTACGATATTCTGATACAGGTTCTGAGTTAAGAACAGGAAGAAAAAAACAACAAAAAAATCATCGTCAACAGACAAGAACAAAATTTCAATGTCAATAACAGCAGCAATAAATCAGAAGAAAAGACATAATTAAATAGATTGCATTATATCTCAGTATATCTAAATAATATGTAACTGACATATTTTGTATCATTCAAATGACTTTCGACCAGTACGTCTTTTTTAAGAAATAAAAGAGAACTTAGCTAAATTAGTTTTTTTATGAATATTAAAAGATCAAAAGAATCTGTCGAATTTTGTTAAAAGAACATTGGTACTGGTTGAATATTCATAGTAGGTGTCCTACCTGTTTTAGATCTTCAAATCTGAGACACAATATCTTCAGATTAGGATTGGTCAACTTCGCAGTGTTCCATTCCCTCGTGTGTGTAAACCATGATCCACCAGATCCAATGACTTTATGAAATAGGAAGAAGAACGAAATTTGACTAAGTTTATTTCATATAACTAAACTAAACACTAGAAACATTGAAATTTGCTCGCATTATATCATCTTGCAAAATGAAATATCCCTTTGCCTTTTAAATAAAAAAATCATTTCTGCAATTAGGCATTATGAGATGAAACAGTATATATTTTGTAAATGTAAATTATAATCAAGTCGGAATTCATATTGAATATGCAAAATACGTGAATGTGAGATGTGATAAAACAGTTGAATCGAAACAAATAGTATAACTAAAAATAGAAAAAAAACTAACACTCTTCAGACAAAAATGCGTCTACATATCCGTCCAGATTCCCACTATAACAAGTGTTTTCGATTTTAGATTGAAAGGTGAAGTATGAACAGGCAGCGTCCTTTGGATTCCGAATCACGTAAATGATTTTCAGTTGTCCATCTTTTGCAGCCTTAGGGATGAATGGGTAGGTCAGATGCGTATGAAACATTCTTGGAGATGTCATCTCGTCAATGATTCCAATGTCCTGAAATTCCATCATCTCTGGTGATCCCGAGTATTGAAGATTCTTTGTTTGGATCATTCTGGCCATATTGAACACCCAATGCGTACCTTAAAGTGTAACGCCAAGAAAACATAAATCAGTTCTCATAATAAATACAATTTATTCACAAGACCTTTATGTTATATCCACAATATAACGGCTGTCTAAGATAATATGCATTTGTAGAAAGACAAAACCCATGAAAACATAAACTTGACAAGACTATATCGTTTAGACAATGTTTATTTTTAATTATAACTCTAGAAATGAAATTTCCAAGAAAGCGTCAATTAAATAAATTGCTTGTAGCAAGTCGATAGAAAAACCCAAACATAGAAACTATTAAATGAACTCTCCGGTCACTTCGCCCATTTAGACTAAAAAATCTATAATATGAGAATAGTGTTATGAAGTGATCCAAAACATATGGTAAAATATAAAAACCGGAAAAATGCCTTTGATATTCTCAATCACGCTACTTTATAACGTATGGCAACAAGAATTTATTTTTATCTCAATTTTCACACAACAGCCAACAAAATTGCAATATGCAGATGTAAACCACACATATTGATTGTGTTAAAATCAAAATTGAACCATCTATGGTCGGATTGTTTTCATTACAATTTTTGGAAAATTTAATCTTTAATAATATAATAATTTCATTATCCTCTCCGAAATAATAAAAAAAGAAGTCAAGTTTGGCCGTATTAAAACAAATCAAACATGCATTACACTTGCATGTTTGTATTAGAATATAAACAAGAGAATGACAAAGTATTTGCAAATTTGCAAATTGAATTAAAACAAATATAAACAAAGTTTCTAAGACCCTTGAAATGTACAAAGAATGAACAGACCAGACGGGCCAAAAGGTAAGCGTTTTCAAATTCATCGACGTCACCAGTCATTTAAAACTAGGTAAAGTCCTAGCAATATAAAGTCGTCATATGGAGTCCCAGGGTAGTGACAACGGATCAACAAAACATACCAAAAATGCATGAGAAAACATCAACTTTAATGATATCATGATGGCGAAGACAAAAACTTAATTTTGTTTCGTTTGTGATACTAGGTCCGAGGTTGGATATTTCATCGTCACATGTAGTGGTCTAAACCCGGCGGTGATATATATGGAGATTTTTTTTGTAACATAGAGAAAACGATCTTTATGATAGAATATAGCAGTTCCACTTCTCAGGCCATATCTTGTTAGCCATATCCTGTTAGCTTCTTTTGATAAGCTCTAATGTGTTTAGTTTCTGTTTTTTTTCGCTTCAGACCAAAAAACGACATATTGCATGAAGGGGTTGTTATGTCAAAACGAACAAGCTGTTCGAGAAGAAAATTCCAACTACGCTGCTTTAAATTAATGCTGCTTTTAAACCTACTTTAGATATCCAAGATGTAGACTCTGCTGGCGGATTTCGTAGTCCCTTAGGTTTACCATAACCTTGGTGGCCACATTTATTTTGTTTGCAGTTGCACAGTTCATAAAATACACACTACTAATTATCAATTTGAAATTAACAAATACTGCTCTAATGTTTGAAATGCATATGGTTTAAAGATTTTTACACACCTTCCCATCTGTTTTATAAGAAAGACCTCATTATTACTAGTTGTGTTATCTCATTGTTACAACTTAAGCTATCTCGTTATTACCATATTCTGCACATTTATATAAGTTTAGGTGCGGTAATAAGCATACAATATAAATACCACACAGACCATTCCTATGGAGTAGGGTTATAAATCTAAGCTCTCCTATTCGAACCATGGACTCTGTTAACAGCTACCTGGTCACCGGCGAACAACCAGATCCAGTTCTGCTACTTTCCTGCTTTCCTCACTAAAGTCTTATATCGACCCCGAGCACTATGGGGACTTGACCTTTACCACATTCTTTATGTCTATTTATTTGGGCACAAAATGTAATTATAACAGTAGAAATAAATGCATTGCCAGACTGGGATTCGAATCCAGAACGCTCTGAACTCTAGATGGATGCTGTACTAATAGCACCAACTGAGCTACCTGCTGGAAGGCAAATGACCCAGTCCAGCTCTACTAGTCTTCATAAGTATGGTTTAGGTAAATATATGGAATAAAGCTTTCTGGAGTGTATAACTTCAATTAATGAGTATATTCCCACCTTAAATAGCTTCTGACTGCTTGTCATAACAAGACACAAATTTGGCATTAAAATACAAGATTGAGAGATTTTGTTATAAACTTTCTAGATCAGCCGTTTTGCACACCTTTTCCCCCCAGTTGATGCACATGTAATAATCGTTAGTTTTGAAACTCAGGATACATACTATGGATTCGCAAAATATCAACATTGTATATGTTATGATAACGGAGGAAAAGAGTTTAAATGCATTTTTTTTTGAAAAATATGAATGATGGCTGGAAATGAACATTTTTCAAAGTTGCATATCTTCATCATTTTTAATGCTATAACCTTGCAATTTTGATATTTTTATTTAATTGACCTATATAATATAAGACCCCATAGCGAGGCTGAGGCCTTGAACTTGACTTATTCTCTGATAACATGTCATGGAAATAAGTAAGCCACGCACAAGATCTACAAGAAGTATAAAGCGTTTATGCAATATAGCGAACGCTTATGAAGTTATGGTCTTTCAAAAAACATTTAAAATGCTCAATTTATAGATCTGTGACCTTGACCGTTGGCATTATGATCATGATCGTTTAAGAAATGATGGCCTCTATTACATACTGAAAATGAAATGAAATATGAAGGTTATATCTGTTTCCGTTCATGAGATAAACTGTTAACAAGATCTGGGGAAATAATGATAATAATAAGAAAAAACATAACGAAAACAATAGCGATTTCCATCCAAAATAGAAATCCCGAACAGGAATGAAAATATCAAAAAACATAACGGAAACAATAGGGATTTCCATTCTAAATAAAAATACCTAATAAGAAAAACCATATCGCAAACAATAGAAATTTCCATCCGAAATGGAAATCACTAATAAGAATAAGAATAATAAGAAAAAACATAACGAAAGTAATAACAATAAGAATTATAAGAAGAAAAAAAATCAAGGCGAGTGATACAGGCCCTCTGGGGCTCTTGTTGTTTTTTTCGTTTTTTTTGTGACATGGCAAATATTCAGTAATGTGTGGTTCTTTATGATAACATGAAATATAGAAAGCCTAAAGGAACTAAAGGAAATAACTTATTTCGGACAAACTCTGGATGGTCACTGCAATGTAATACAAGCACACTATAGTTGTGACGACAGATGCAAAAACTAAGCAATCCTTAATGCGGACGTTCTTTAAATCTTTAAAGACCTTTATCTTGTTAAGGCTAAAACTGGCATCAAACGGTCACTGTGACATATCGACAAACGTTTCAACAACAGCTAACATTTCAATTACATCGTAATTGAATATATAATTATAAGAGCGAAGCTCTTGTCCGTTAACATGTATGTAACAAATGTAGTCATGGTAATGTCGATATGCTAGGCGATCAAAAATCCTTCGTCACGGAAGTAGCTTGCAGAGTTACTGCGACCCTTTTTTTACAATGCTGTTTAGCTTTGCTACACATTCTCAAAAGTATCTCTATATTTGATACTTTTTTCTGTGGTTATGTAAATTCATGACATTAAAAAGTATAGAAACAGAAGCTTCTTTTCAAATTTTCAGTCGTTTCTTCACTCCACATAAACCGGAAGTATATAGTTACTACCAAACCAGACGGAAATCCGGATATGTTTGGGCTATCGTGATTCTCTTTTTACACGATTTAGAGGGATCAGGCAAAGGTTATCATGTCGGAAAATAAAATTGGAATTTAATCACCAATGTACTTAACTTTTCTTATAACAGATAATAGCAGTTTTATTTGATAAACAATACATATTCAAATATGAAGTCCCTCTACAGGGCCTCACTCTTTCCGAAACATCACGCTGAGGCCATAGACGGGGCAATTAAATGCAACAGTACCAAAAGCATTTGTGTTTTCTCTTGAACTGCATAATTCATTCGAATGCTTTTCTTTACTTCTTATTTATTTTACATTGATTGCTTTATCGCTATAAAACGAATAAATATATAATATTTTAAATAATGTTATTTCGAAAAAAAGATTGAAAAAACAGCATTTAGACGCTTTGCTCGTTTTAGGCAATGCCTGTTTTCACATTATGGTAACTTGATGGCAAGAAAGGATAACTAATAAAGGATGATATAAGCCTGTCTGCCTGTATATTTCATTTTACAACTTATTTGTTGTTGCAGATATTATGATATATATTATATTCCAGTTAGCTTCTTAAACATAATTAAAATTAATACATATAATATTAATTAATAAATAGCAAACGAGATATCTTCAAATTTTCAACTGTTTCGGATGCAAAACAAGTATCGACAACACGAATATAAAACAAGTTATAACACATAAACATCCAGGTGTATATTTCAACGCTGACTAAAGTTGGACTAACCAGGTATTATTTATTATTTCGAAAGCACCAAAAAGGCTCGCTGTGCTACGGAACTTAAATTCCTTCTTGACCGTAGCACCTTAGAACGTATATATTTCTCCTGTACTATGCCTATACTCGAATACTCAGACGTTGTATGGGATTCTCTACCTTATTACTTAACTGGAATCAGTAAGAATCGCCAAGGATAGTTACTGGAGCACCAAAACTAGTAAGTATCGACCTATTATACAAAAACATTTGTCATACTGCAAAGAAAAATGTCGCACGGTGATTGGTCGAATTGCCAAGGTACCTGAAGCTATGTTAGTATCCTTGCCGGGGTACATAAGAGCACGCGCGCCTGTTGTAAGGGAGATAACTCGCAGATTCGAATCGAACACACCGGAGAACGTTCGTCTGCTAATGTCAACAATGAACAAAATGGCGAAACGGTTTGCAAGCCACACGGAGAGTGAAATTGAGACAAAACGGGCGTCACTTATACCTACAAACACAAAGAAAAGTAACAATTCAGCAAGCAAAACCTTCAGAGCATACTTAAGCGAAAAGGAGCAAGACA